GAGCAAGATCCATACGCGCATCACACACCAAGTCTTTTAGCGTGTGTCTTTGGGCTCCATCGTCTGCTCTATTTCTCTCCATTCTCTCCATTCTCTCCATTCTCTCCATCTTGACATCTGGTCGCCATGAGCTTCCTCCCATACACTAGACTGGGTGCCAGGCTAATTCGCCTGGAGGCGTATGGGGAAGAAAGGAGGTGTGGACGAAATAAACAGGGCGGTACCACCGCCGATCCAGGGTATCCATACACCTTCTTTCCATAGCCCCTCCCCCTCCCCCTTCCCTGCTTCTCCAAGCTGTCCCCGCATCCTTGTTAAAGAAGACGGCCTCCAATTTGTGAGGGGACAAATTTCTTTGACATCTGACTCTTTTTTCCCATGTACAGACGAGACGACACCTTCTCGGCCTCATGCGGCAGCCCGCCAGCAGTTCGATATGGTTGATCAATTCATGTCTTACACCTCTCCTCTGTCCTGATCCGGTCTTCTCTAACTGGCGGACCGGCTCATTGCATCTCACTTCGGCCGGCTTGCTTACCATCCATCTCCCATCGGCCCATCAGGGGAATATTATTTTCTTAACCGAACGAAAACCAGGGAAATGATGAACGGCTCGCCGGATTCTGAGAGGCTGTCTCGTTGTTTCATCTTAAATCTCGTCATGGGAAGCCGCACTGGAGGACCCGAAGGCGAGCAAACTCGCGGCAAGGGACGTGAAGCTATTTAGAAGTCATAGCAGCGTTCAAGTAAGTCTCAGTGGACTTGGTTCCATTACACTCCAGCCGGGAGACCTTATTTCTGCCCGGCTTCGATCCCGAAAGCTTTCGGCTGTTTCAAAGCACTTCCCGCCGGCATGTGCCGCCCATCGTGGGTCTCAACTTTGGCTTCATCGATCCAGAACGACCGGCCCTACCGACGGATACCTCTAAGAGGAGCGCCAGACGGACGAGGCGGCTCAGTCACACATCCATCACAACCCATGTCACACCAGCATGCGCTTATTCCTCTTCTTTACTTCGTCCCTCTGCTTTTTGGAGTACTCGAATCTGCCGCCCGTCCCATATAGCCCCATAATCACTCCTACCCTCCCCACACCCCTTTGCATTACAAGTTTGGTTCCTCCAACCACGTTGTCTTCTCTACCGTCTCGACCTTTCCTCCCTTGGTCTCTATTCCGGCTGGCCTCCATCATTACTGGGTATGTATTAGAGTCTCGCGTGCGCGACCTGGACGGGACGACTGTACCTGGAGAGCCTGCACTAATCAACAACGGCGAGGCACATCAGGTGAACAGCCTTCCACGCAATGACACGCCTTGCTGAGCAGTTGTGCCTGGCACCTCTCCCGACGAACCGTTCCCATGTCCCCTGCGTATTGTCTGCCGCCCGTCATCCGTTAAAGGAGCAGATTTGCCTAAAGTAAGGGACGCCCCTCCAACTGCGAAAAGCCACACTAATGCATCTAGGTCTTTACGGACCCAAAGAACGACAGACGGCTCACTGAGAGACTTCCTGGTCTTGCCACCTTCACGTCTGTCTCTCGGCCTTGGTGTCTCAATATTCTGCTGACGCACCGCACTGAAGACCCGGTCCTGTGGCGATGACCGCTCATGTGCTTGTCAAGACTTAACCTTTACTTCACGGTTGGCCCCATGCAATCAATGCATCTGCCCTTATTGGGTATTCGATACCCCACAACATTGCCTCCCTCCTTCATCGACCAAGCGTGACTAGAGCTCTAAATCGCATCGACTAAGGTGTGGTATGCTCGATCCGGTCAGCCGACAGCGCCTTACTCTTAGGCGCCCTTCCCCACTGGCCTGGAGCGGGTGCCTGCTCCCGCGTACCGTTGGGTTTTCAGGAAAAGACAGACATCTCCCTCTTATGCCGCCTACACGCGTCACTGCAGGGAACAATGGCCTCCCGGACAGCTTGAGATGAAACATTGTCTTTCGCTAATCTGCCTGGCCACGGCATATGCTGGCTTGTGGAATAAATCCTTCTACGAATTGCCATGTGCCTTTGAGCGTGCCGACGCGGTACTCTGAGCCAGTGGTTACACTACAGGCTGAGATATGTTTTGGCATCACAAGCCACCACAAATTATGGTCTTTGGCCACGTCGATCAACGAGACGGCATCGTTTTCGCAGTCACAAACCACCAGGCACTCCCGCAGTAGCTTGTCCATGGTCTGCAGAGGATGATCTCCAAGGTTCCTGGAGGTACGGTTCCCCAGATTCAGGATTGTGCAATAGCAGAGGGTATCGGACCCGGCGAACCGTCTAGACTGGTCGTCTCCTGTCTAGCCGCGCTTCTCCTGCGGGGATCTTTGAGTCACGGGTTGTGGAGGTAGGGGGTGCGTATGTTTGCATGAAGCATGGTTGGCCTTCCAGTAGCGGCTTGTGTCCGGTACTGACTGAAGCTTGCAACTCTTCGAGCCGGAAGTCGACCGGGGCAGTATAACCGTGATTTACACAGCCATATTATTCCGCGAGGCCGGTCCCAGAGTATGATCAATTCGCGAGTCATCGCACTGACAAGGGCCTCTCTGATATCCGTGAGGACGCCTGCGGGATACACTCGGGAATGGTCACGAAGACTGCGAAATGCCGCATGGACGCTCTCGAGTATGCGTTTTCGAGGCTCATACATGCCATTCAAACTGGCTTCCGAGAGAGTCCTGCCAAGCTTACTATGTTCCCCGGCATAACAATTCGGACCGCCACCTTTATCGACACGTGTTTAATCTCATCGACGCATCTGGCTCGGCTGCGCGACGGCTACGCCCGAGAGACAGGGAAAGTCGTCGAGTGACGGCTCTGTCTGACGGGCAACGAACCCGTTTACGGGCCAGCCCGCACAGGCACGGCTGTGCCTTTCTCTACCCGTCGCCTCGAGAGGGCTTCCGGGTCAATCCAGGCCCCGTTCGTCCATTTGATGAGCAAGGAAGAATGAGTCTGGGGCATTTTGCTTTGGAGCAAACGTCATACATTCTGACGAGTCTTGTCATTTCTTTCACCGGCCCTTGTTTTCCAAGTCAATATTACACTGCTCGATCTTGGACTCTCCAACCGCACTACGGGATCGCAGCAACACAGGTAGCACTACATCGAAGAAGAAGTCGGTACTGTTGCTCCATCACTCGTGCTAGACGATATAGCCGCCGTCCAAAGACTTTTTGTCGGTTACGTCCTGCGCAGTCCATGCACCCTGACCCATCTTGGACGCGCATCCTGAGAAGAGTCTCTCCTTGACCGCCATGACAGTTGCTTGAAGGAGGCATGCGGCTTGCAAACCGTCTCGAGATACATCGCCCAGCCCAGGAGGCACGCATCGCATCATACGGCAGCCCACTTTGACACTTGCTCGGGCAGCTCGCCGCACGTATCCGACCCTACCGCCCACCGCCCACCGCCGGTACAAACTGCTAGGCAAGCCGGACGAACCTGCAGAGGATCGTGAAGTTGATGGGTGTCTGCTGACACGGGTCAGACGCACACACACACACACACCCATCTACACCCTCCTATTCCCGCCGGTGGCTTGCGCATTGCTTATGGATTGTACTAGACAGTGAAGAACTGTCAGATAGACATTTCGTTAGTTCGTGCCTTTCCAAGGTCTTGGAGGCAGTCTTTTCGGAAAACCAGCCGAAAACTTGGTGATAGGCTGACCATCACGCCCAGATCCTGTACCAATACCAAGACCTCGCTTTCTAAGCTGTCGCTAATCGGATTACTGTCCCGTCCGGAGCCGCCCTCGTTCATATTCCAATTCTGGACATCCGGCTTCAAAGTCGGATTGTTCCTGATACCCTTTGCGGTTTTCTGTCCTCGACCTTCCGAGTCTTTTTTTTGTTGTTGTTAACTTGTTTGACGTTGTTTTATTCCCTCAGTCGCGCAGTACGTTACATTGTTTCTGTATGAATAAGACCACAATAACCGGGCGGCTCCGCTGTTATATGCCGTCGTTTGAGTCAGGGAAGAATCTTCAACCCGGCATTCCTCACTTATCAGTTTCTTTTTAATAAGGAAATTTCAAAAGGTTTGGGGGCCGTTGAAGAATTATATCCCATATCCCACCGGAATGATCTGAGAAGCAAAGAATCCTTATCTCTCCGAAATCGTCCGAGTTCTTGGCATGCATTTTCAATGTTTTCTAGGTCGTACTCTCTGTAAAGATCAGACGATGCCTATTCACCGTGGATACTTTTGCCCACAACCCGGGAGTTTCATTGTTGGGACCTGACATTACGGCAAGACTGACAGATCACTCATCATTTGCATATGTACGGTCAAGACTTAATAATTGGCGGTGAATAAGGTCTTCGAAGATCGTGAAGCCGATAAGAATCATATCATGAGGCATAGCAGGTGGACTCCTCCAGGTTGCCATCGTCAGCCTCCGTCATGTCCATCTGCTTCAGAGCGGTTCCGCATACCCCTGGCCGCATTGCCATTCATCCACATCCCAAGTAAGGTAGCTGTAAGGGACTGCGGTCCGACGTGATCTCCGCCCAGACAACCACACACCCGTCCGACAGGGTTCAGTGAGGGTTAAAGTGGCGTCCTTGCCCACCCCGGCACTGCAAATCAGTTTGCTGCGGCGCTAGAGTTGCAACCACACCCCTCCCCCAAACAGATTGCCATCCCAGAAACCATCTTCATGTCTCCCAGCTCTGGGTACCACTACCACCGCTACCCCGTTTGACCTTTCTCCAAGATTGGAAAACAATCTATTCTTCCGGGATCTGCGACTTCAATGCCGGACGGTTCCTCCTTGGGATTCTCCAGGGTCACGGTGCGTACCATCGTCCTCCCCTCATCTCTCCGCCCAGGAGGAGCCACTCCCAACTTTACACCAACCACGCTGGCTGAACAGAGCATCGTCAGCTTCCCCGCACGCCTTGCTCTTGTATGGTCCATGGTCCATGGACGGCCGTTCTGATGAAAGCTAGGGGGTTACCACGAGCGGCCGGATTGGAAAGAATTTCCGACCCCCTAAAGACGAAGAATTTGGCACCGGCTTGTAATGCCGTCGAATATGCATGTGTTCTCGATGGGTACGTATTGGTTCGTGATGATTTTGATCGTCTCCTGAGCCACCATACCGCCTGTCACGGCGGAAACGTTGTGCAGCTCTCCACCGCCAGATCTGGCTACCTCTTGCGCCGCCTGCGCGAGCCGCTCGTTGTCGCTCCAGTCCGGAAGCAGCGTCTTGATCTTGTCCAAAATCTCATCCGAAGATGCCGTGGGTGTGTGTGACGTGGACTGGAGGGCGAGATAAATTGGGAGCAGCGACAGTGGCACCACGCCCTCCTTGGCCATCTCGTCGTTGGCAAACTCCTGCGCTGTAAATGCAATGTGTGAGCACCGGCTGTGACAATCCTCGTGGAGATGTTCCTTACCTGCTATGCTGCGCAGTTGTTCGGGCCCGCCAGTTGTAGGGACGACCAGCTTGACAAAGGCCGCATTCTTGCAGAACAGGTCGACCTCGGCTACGTCGACGCCCTCGCCACCGACTTTCTGACGGACCGATTCAAGCACCTCGGCTGCATCTTTGCGAGCCTTGGCCTTGTAGATGTTCTGAAGCTCAATGTACACGCTAGATTGGGCCTTCATGTCTGGGAGGCCGCCCGGGAGTGGTAAACAGCCGTGCTTCTCATAAAAGTCACGGATCGCTCCTGCGATGATCCAGAAGCTAGATGTGGTTTCATTCTGCAGAGTTGTTAGGTGGGTTGGCTTCTTTGGGTAATACGGCGGGCACTCACCTCGTCATTATGCTTATACTCAAAGACCTCCTTGACGGCAGAAGGGAGTGATGGTGGCGAAATGGTCTTCAACACGGCAGCTACAGCCTCATCAAAGTTTTCCTCGCCTCCTTCGGGGCTATCCGTTCTCGTAGCAGCGGCCACCATTTTGCGTAATTCGACTTTGTCTTTGTAGTTGCTCGGGGCCTTGGTATCGTGAGATGACTTCCATTCCTTTAGGTAGTGTAGGAGAATAACAACGAAGGGCAGGTGGCCGTGCTCATGGTTATCGAGACTGTCAATGTCTTTCGTCAGGCTGTCGGCAAAAGCCTCTAACTCTTCCCACGGGGTCAAGAGCCGCAAGTCCGTGATGGCTGTGACGTCCGGATGGGTGTCGACGATGGGGTAAATGCCTGGGAGATGAGTACTGAAGTAGGAGTAGAAACCCGCAGAGTGTATCGCAATCAATGGCGTCTTGTGCTCTCGGCTGTAAGACTCGAGTACGGTAAGGTCTTCCGGTTTCATGGGAAGTGTGTACAAGATGATGGTGAAGGGGGCTGAGGTTTTCAAAAGCTGCTGGAGACCCGTGTTTTCCTGCCACTATGTTAGTCTTATGACACAGAATCATGATTCAACTGCCTCACCGATTTCTTAGGATACCAATCACCCTGAACCTCAGGATTGAGCTCTAGCAGTAGCTCAGTACAGCTCTGGGCCCTGGACTTGCCGAGATGGGACTCGTCCAGGAAGAAGTTGACACCAAGATCAGCCTCGTTCACGACAGCGTCATCTGCAATCGTGAAATTTCCAATCCCTAAGGACATTAGTTTTTGATAACGAGGATATCAACAGCAATGCTGATTCAGAGTCAGCATATAAGCTGCCGGTTTCATACCTGGAAGTACGAGATTCTTTAGTGTCTCAATACCGACGGTGCCCGTGCCGGAATTCACGAGCAGGATATTGGCAGACTCCAGAGCAGCTTGCCCACTCGCAGCCCAAAGCCTGAGTTGGCGGTCATATTTCTTTTCCTTTTCCGATGGCACGGCGAGGGCTGGAGGTGCCTGGTCGGCTATGATGTCTGTCATGGTTGAAGCGGTCGAACAGAAACCGGACGGGGGTGTGTCAAGTATTGAATACGAGGAGGTTTTCCTTTCTTCGATGAGATCCAGGGACAGTCCGAGCCTCGATATGGTGAGGGTTCGATAAGTCAATGCGATGGTAAGTCGGCCTTGACTGACGATAGCGACAGAACCTGGGCACTGTGGTGGGTTGGATGTGGGACTGTCGTTGTCAGCGCCTTTTTGACCGTTTGAAGGTGCCTGGGCTGAGTGTCGTCAACGACGAGGTGGCACCAAAGCATAGTACCAAGGTTCTTCGCACGGTGAGGAGTGAGACCATGAATGAGGTAAGCAGATGTTGACTTATTAATATACCGCTGGTTACCTAAGGACGCACGTGGGAGGGCGGGTCGCCGTCCGGCCCGGGAAAGGACTGGATTGGTACCCGTACGGCCGTGGGGTCTTACCTTCCGGACGACGCCCCACAATTGCGATCCATTTCCGCTTTCTTTTTCCCTCAGACATTCTGAAATTGACTGGGACTCTGCTTGTCAGGTATGAATAAAACCCTCTGCCTTCGCCCTTCGCGTCTGCGCAGTCGCCATACACCAGCAGAGCCGGGAACGGTCAGTCGTATGTGCACTCAAAGCCAAACATTAAAAAACCAACGAGCCGAGGAAGAAGCAACGGAGATCCCAGTCAACCCAGACGGTATTCTTTGCCATCTCAATTCTCGCAACTGAGCACCTGCTTCTGGCGTGTGTACTTACTTTTGTGCATAGTCGTCTGCGGGCAAACATCCTACGAAATGAAGTTTGCGTATCCCGCGTCTGGTCTGCTTTCTAATCTCCCTACCTTGTTGTTTGCTTAGGGGTTAGTCACTGTTGCTACCTTTACAGTTCCCAAATGATACTAGGGAGAGTGGGAGATGGCCCGGATTTACACATTCTCACAGCACATAGGTTGTGTTCGGTGCGTGGCGCAGTCATCCATCATGGAGAGTCAACGATCACCGAAGCAAGGACTTTTGAGTGCTTGACTATGGTTTACTCCCTACTTACGAGCGCTGTCCGAGTGGGCATTGCGAATAGGCGGTGTCGAACCCACATTCCTCAGCGACGGATTCGCCTCTCTTCTTCATTCCCGTCGCTGGGTTTCAAGTACTGAGTCTGCGGCCTGGCTGCGCACACGGCTCTGGATCCAATGGAGCATAATCTTTCGGTCGGTAGTTACGAATACCCTTCGGCGTTGACCAAAGTTGCTGCGCAAACTACGATGATGACCACACTCGGAATTGGAAGATTGAAGTCATCTATCCGTATCCTAGATCCAATGATTCCGGGAGCTGAAAACTGGGGCCTTCGCCGATGAGATAGTATTGATCAGATCGGGCCTGGATTGGATGATGGATCTAGACCACGTTGCAGCTGATTCTTTAACGGCCGTGGTGCGTCGGGGAGGCGGGTTCTAGCATTCCTCATCGGACGACCTGCTGCCACCGAAAGGCTATACAAAACCCCAAGGGGACTCCGACCGAAAGAAATGCGGCGGCCTAGACTATCGCACTATCGTGCCCTCCCTTCTTCGCTCGCCTCGCTGGTATTGGTCTGTCTCACTACCGACTTGTCTGACTATCGGGGGGGGGTTTTGGTGTGGCGCGCCGGGTCCACGCCGCATTCGCCTACGGGATCAGCTTACGGCCGGCAGCAGCGGCGGGCCAAAGACAAACAACTGGGACCGTGAGCTCAGGAGGTCGTTTCCGAGCTAGCGAATGCGAATGCGTTGCTGAACGCCGAACGTTCGTTTTTTCCCTAATTCGTCTCGCCCCGAACGCCGATTCAACCTCTCTCTCTTATGTTCGGCCATGGCACCTGTCTCTCTTTTATTCGCGTTCCCTTCGTGGGGTTCGCCCTGGTTTGCTTACTTGGACCTCGCATTCTCTTCCCAAGCGTCTTTTGATCCTGTCAGATGCGCTTCCCGGGCCTCTCATGACATCCTTCACTATGATTTGCTCCGGCACTGCTTCTCAACCCCGTACCTGTACATCGTGAGTGGTCGTCAACATAGCGTTGCTCCGACACCGACGACCTTCGAGTCAGACTTTCATCCTACCGACGGACAGGATTCAACCGAATGAACATCCCTCCGAACCATCGGTTCCATCACCAACTACTCAACCGGTGTACAAGACCTGGATCCACCGACAACCTCAAGTTGACATTGACGATCACAACACTCTACCGACGACACTCTTATAGCGACTGCTACTTGTTGGCACAACTCTGCACCGGTCAGGGAAGCAATCGTCATGGGTAACATCAAGGAGGACATCGAGTCCACCAAGGCCGAGGGCCTGGTAGAGAACCATCATTACAGAGATGCTACTCTGCCGCCATGGAGATTCTGGCTGCTAAGCATTGGGTAATTATCCCAACGATGTGTTGAGGGCTGCTGTAGATCTTTATGCTGACTTGCCTGAAAGACTCTGCCTTGGACTGTTCCTTTCCATGTTGGATGCTTCTATTGTGGCAACAAGTCTGTACACAATTGGCACAGAGTTCGACTCGGTCGATTTGATCAACTGGGTGGCACTCGCATACACCCTCACATACCTGAGTTGTGCCGTCTTGGTGGCTCGGGCATCCGACATCGTTGGCCGCCGCAATGCCTTTTTGGCGAGCTTCATCATCTTCTTCGCTTTTTCCCTGGGCTGCGGGTTCGCTCAGAACTTGGAGCAGTTGGTTGCATGCCGTGCTCTGCAAGGCTTAGGTGGCTCTGGTGAGTGGATCATGATTGTTCGTCGTCTAGTCTTTCGCTAAGTTTCTGCCAGGCCTTTATTCCATCACCATGATTATCTTTCCCGAGGTCGCCCCCAAGCACTTGCTCCAATACATGTCCAGCCTCGTCGGTATGGTTATTGCGAGTGCTGGTGTGCTTGGTCCAGTTCTGGGAGGTATTCTCACCCATTACGCCTCTTGGCGGTGGATCTTCTGGATCAAGTGAGCAGCCTCAGTTCTTGGAGAAGATTGTTTGTGTTCTAACATCAACACAGTGGCCCTGTTGGCTTCATTTCAATGCTCATCTTTTACTTTACATGGCCCGATGCCAAACACCTCCCAACGCTGCAACGTAGACGCTGGAAGGAGTTGGATATCGTGGGCTCCTTTCTTCTCGTTGCAGCATCGGTTCTCGTTGTCTTCTCCTTTCAAAATGTCGGCTCAGACGGCAACAAGTGGCGCCAAGCCGTCTTCATCGCCCCCGTAACGGTCGGCGGCGTGTGCTTCATTCTGCTGCTGGGATGGGAGGCTTTCGTCGCCAAGTTCTGGAGCAACCACATCATGGCGGCCATTCCGATGCGGCTTCTGCGCAACCGCGTCTACGTTGCCACCATCCTCAACACGATGTTCCTCGGATTTCCGTACCTCCTGGTCATCTACGCCTTCCCTGTCCACCTGCAGATCGTCAACGGGAAGAGCTCGCTGCTTGCGGGTATTCTGCTTCTCCCGATGCTAGGCTCTGTTGCGCTGGGTACCACTCTCGGCGGGATCATCAACAAGAAACAGAACCGACTTTTTGAGACAATGACCACGGCAAGCTGTTTCGTGTGTATCGGCTGCGGCTTAATGACGACGCTGTCGTCGTCTGTGGAACTGGAACCCAAAGCACTCGGGTTTCTGACCTTCATCGGCTTTGGCTTTGGTTTGTCAGCCACTTCATCAACCGTCCTAGGAGCGACGGAGTCCGAGATTCCAGATCATGGTGAGTATTTTGACTCTGCTAGATGTAGACAGACGGCTAACGTTACAAAGCTCCCGCGCAAGGAATCATTGCACAAGTGAGGATACTCGGTGGTAGTTTAGGAATCGCCGCATCAACGGCGATTCTGGGCAACTTCATGCGAGACGAGTTGACCGGCGTGCTCAGCCCGGGGCAGCTGTCGTCGCTCCACGGAGCAGGAGCAAATTTGACAGAGGCGCAAGCCGCAGCCGTGCGTCAAGTCTACACCGACTCTTTCTGCAAAGACATGCAAGTGGGAGCCATTCTATCTGGCATAGCGATCCTACTAAGCTTTGGTGTCTATCGTCGGAATCGGGTCACCATCGAAGAGCAGCGACAAATGCACATTAGAGCCGAAGTGGAGAGGAGGCGCAGGGCATCGGCGGCCACGACGTTGGTTTCTTCGACGACAACCGACTAAGCCCTTGTACAAGGTGGGCTGTATATTTATTGTTGGGTTTGGTTGTATGATTTTCTGAAGCATAGCACCTGGCTGGCGTTACGGGATTTCCAGTGTCAATCTTTCTGGCCTAAACGGTTATATATGATGTATATGGGTTTATGAGCAATACCTCATGTCAGTATTAATTATCATCAGAATATCTTTGTACCACTCCGCGGCCAACAGCCGGAAAACCGCAGTGACCGTTGACTAAACCGAGAGCCTTGTAAGGCGCAACCTTGGCCTATGTAACCCTGGGCTGCCTGTCGGAATCTCAGCCGGGCAGAGCACATCGGCGTTGGTGCCGCTTGGTGCGGGGATAGAAAAGACCGCCAAGTACAAACAAGTCGGACTTGTCAATCACCTCATCGGCACGACAGCCTCTCATGGCCAAGAAGGCTGTAAATGAACCCCATTATACCCTCTTGTCGACTCCTCCGTATCAAAAACTAGCCCTGATACTTATACTCGAATCAGTGAGGGGCCAGACAGGCTGTGTCGAGTGAAGAAGCTTCAAGCAAAAATGATGCAATCGCCTGTCCCCGCCGGTTATCGGTCGGTTGAAACCCCGCAGTGTGGGGCCCATCCATTCCGTGCGCCGTGCCGTCCACTTGTGCTCTCCCCTCGTCTTATCCGTCCCTCCTTTGCCTCTGTAGTCGGAAACGTGTCGACACTTATTTTCTGTACCGGAACAGCTTCCCCTACTAATGCTCCCCTTTCATTGGATAATAGCAACTGTACGAGCAAAAGCAACCTTCTCCTGACTTCTGCAGAATCCCAGATAGAGTCAGGTAGGTATATAAGCAACTAATTCATCCCCGAACCGACCTTCTTCCCTTCCGGTTTCCTCTCACTTTACACATGCCCCTTTATACCCGTATAGCTCGCTCCGTCTGCTCTTCACTCCTGTCATCTCAACGCCAACAGCCTCAGCTGCATTCTTCCCTGCGCAAAGTCCTCCACCAGAACCATCACAAAACCACGATGTCCGCCGCAGCAAAGCGCCTCGAAGGCAAGACGGTGCTCATCACCGGCGCCTCGAGCGGCATCGGCAAGAGCACGGCCTTTGAATACGCCCGTACGGCGCCCAACAACCTCAAGCTCGTCCTCACTGCCCGCCGCATCGACACCCTCAAGGAGGTCGCTGCCGAGATCCAAAAGGAGGTCGGCAGCGGCGTCAAGGTCCACCCCGTCAAGCTGGACGTCAGCAACCCCGAGGAGGTCCGCCAGCTGGTGCCCAACCTGCCCGAGGAATTCAAGGATATTCACATCCTCGTGAACAATGCGTACGTTGCTACTCGTTGACAATCTGGCTCTTAACTAACACTGACTACAAAGCGGCCTTGTCAAGGGAGTTGCCAAGGCTCCCGAGATCGCCGAGGAGGACATCAACGTCATGTTCGCGACCAACGTCACCGGCCTCATCAACGTGACGCAGGCCATTCTCCCCATTTTCAAGGCGCGCCCCGATGGCGGTTCAGGAGACATCATCAACATTGGCTCCATTGCTGGTAAGTTGACGCCTGGCTTCTCATCCTTGTTCGTGAAAGAGCACATTTGACTGACTGTCGTCATCACAGGCCGTGAGCCGTACCCCGGTGGCTCAATCTACTGCGCTACCAAGGCCGCCGTGCGTAGTTTCACCGACAGCTTGAGAAAGGAGCTTATTGCGACTCGCATCCGCGTCATTGGCATTGACCCCGGCCAGGTTGAGACTGTGAGCCATCGTTCTTGAGAGCCTAGGGTGCGCGAAGGGATCTAACATGGTGCAGGAATTCTCCGTGGTCCGCTTCTACGGTGACAAGTCCAAGGCCGATGCCGTTTACGCGTAAGTCAATGCTTCACACTTTTTGAGGCTCTTGTCTCAGACCTTGCGACGAGCTCCAAGCATGGACAGGATGCTAACTATGCCACAGCGGATGTGAGCCTCTTACTCCCGAAGATATCGCAGAGGTCGTCGTCTTCACGACCACCAGGAGAGAGAACGTTGTCGTTGCAGACACGCTCATTTTCCCTCAACACCAGGTGAGTCTGACCTTTGAATCGTGTAAGTTGGAAACATATCTGACTCTAAACACAGGGTGCCGCTGGCCTTCTCCACCGCAAGTCTTGATGAGGAGGCCCTCAGTTGTCGGCTAAGAGGTGATTGGGGTGCAGGTGTGATGTATAGAGTCGAGACCGTATATGAAACGGACTCGAGCGGCTGACACGGCGGCCAGAGAGGTAGACCTGTAGATCAACCAGCGTTTTGTTTTGGAAGCACGAGAGCTTCATCTACGTGAGACCATGTCTTTCTTGCGAGAAATCTAGCCTGTAGAGCAAGTGGAAGAATATCACATCCAAACGATTTACCCTGTGACACGGTCTTACTACTTTGTCAAACTCGGGAGGGCGATGTGAGTCTAGGCATACTAATATCTCGATAGCATCCCGCAGATAATGCTTTACACTGTATCAAGAGCTAGCAGTTACCATTTCTTGAACAAGATCACTAAACTGTGAGACCAGACTTGTTTGGGAGGAGTGTTGAAATACATGGCATCACTGTCTGTGTATGCGTCACTCGAGGTATCTTTTCCCTTCACTTATTTGCATTCAGGCAAGGTTCATATTGAGTGAGTGGTGAGTCTTGAGTACTCCGCAGCCATTAACGGGAATACTCGAATGAGGTCCGTATTCGATTCCATCACCGTGTGATGACAGCCCGGTACACCCAGTGGCTGAGGCACTTGCAACTGTTGGGACGTCTTTCCCTGCCCGGGCTAGTTATGACCAGAGACTGTTAGTGTTTGCATGGAGATGGAGCGCTGCAGCTAACACGTAGAGATGATTGGCCTTAGCACCGCCCGCCCAAGCAAAGGTCGGGGCTTCCACGCTGGGCGTCACTAACCAACGCCTTTGCCAGTTGGTGGTCATTCCCCTATATCCCCCCGCATGGTCTTCTCAGACACACCCACCAGAGGTATCAGGGCCACCTGAGCACACCCAAAAGGTACATCGGCATCGTCCTGACATGAGCATCACTCGGCACTAAGGAACCTGGTCACATTCATTTCAACAACGATAACAGTCCCCGATCTGCGCTTCCCTGTCCGCCATTTCCCAACGACCAGGGACCTGGCGACATCCTTGACAACTTCACACCACGCATCCTCGCGCCCACTCTCCAGCAAACATTGCGAAACCCTTTTTTATCTGCAAACGTCGTCGCGAAACCCTGGCTGTGCATATATGTCGCTGTAGCTGTCTTGCCTCCCGCTGTGCATTAGGCGCACGTATCACTCTCCAGTCGACCGTCACCGCCGGTTCCACGCCATGCGAGGCCTACACCAATCATGAACTGACAAGATGGGCCTCACAACTTTTCTCGGATCCTCTACCGACAAACTCGTCTCCAGCCGCTCCAAGACCTCCTCGACCAGCTCTCTTCAAAAGGCCTCTGAGAACGCCTCCTCTCAAACGACAGACGCCGGCTCTACTTCTACCTCCGCCTCCAGTTCCCACCATGGGTACATTTACGACGAGGAGCAGCTCCCTGCGCTGTCCCCCGACTGCCCCGATCTTCGCGAGCTCAACAACAGCCTCGAAGCCCTTGCCGCTATCTTTCCCGATATTCAGATCCAGGTCTTCCGCGAAATGTTGATCAACTTTGACGAGGAATCGAGGCTGGCTGTTGTGATCGATGCCCTGCTGAAGAATCGCGTCGTCTGGGTCAAGGGTCGCTGGAGGACTGTCGAAAACCAACCTGCAAGACCCCTGGTTGCGAATGAAGAAGCAGGAGAGCAGGGCGAGGCTCTGATCCCTCGCGTCGAAGCTTTCCGAAGTCCCGAGTACAAACACGCCGTGCAAGCGCTGGCTTGGCAGGAATTCAAGGGCCTGTCGCGGTCCACCATCAACGCCGTCCTCGCCGAGTCCAACTACTCCTACCTCGAAGCCCGCAATACTCTCGTCTCGCTCTCGTCCAAATCATGGCGCTTTACCATATCGTCCCTCTTCCTCCGCCGGAAACCGGTCGCTACGGGCGAAGCCGAAAACCACCCGCTGATAATATGGAAGTCAACAGGCCAAGGCGCCATAGTGCCGTCTCTCAAGGCCACGGGGAATGCAGAGCTCGACTCTGAGCTGTACCGTGATTTAGTGCGACCGCTGAAAGACCGGGCACGGCAAACGCAAGAGGACAAGGATCGGGGCCTGGCCTTCTTGATGAACAACGAAGAAGCCGAGGAAGCCGGTGCCATGCATGAGTGCGCATGCTGTTTCACCGAGTCTACCTTTGAGGAATTTACAACCTGCAACATGGACGGGCATATGCTCTGTTTCCGCTGTATTCAACACTCAATTACGGAAGCTGTTTTTGGCCAAGGATGGCACAGCAGCATCGACACAAACCACGGCACGCTGAGATGTCTCGCCGTCGAAGGGAACGGATGTCCTGGTAATATCCCCTACGAGCACATACACCGCGCTATGCTAGAGGAGAAGAAGGGCGCCGAGATTCTCCGCAAACTCGACCAACGTTTGGCAGAAAACAGTCTCCTGACATCCAACATGCCCCTTATTCGTTGCCCCTTTTGCGACTATGCAGAAGTGGATGACATCTACCTTCCAGCACAAGAAACGCAACCCCGGATCAGACTCGACAGTTTACTCAGTCTTGTGCTCCTCCTCGTATGCATCGCGACGGTCCCCTTTCTTCTCCCTGTGGTCTTGTTGTCCTCCTTTCTCTGTCTTCTCGTCAGCACGAAGCAGACGGTTGGTGACCGCCTGGTCGCACAATGGCACCTGGCTCTTGGCCGCCATCGCCGACGGCGTCGTGGACTCAAATTTGCGTGTCAAAACCCCGATTGCGGAAAAAGTTCGTGTCTATCCTGCGCCAAGGCTTGGAAAGATATTCACGTATGTAACGAATCATCCCTGGTTGCGCTGCGTACGCAGGTCGAGCAGGCGATGAGTATGGCCATCAAGCGCGTCTGCCCGCG